ACAAATTGTACAGAAAATAAAGAAAAATGGTTCATAGAAGGAGGAAATAAATATAGAGGACATTGGTCATCCGATGGTATGGGAGCAGGTGTAGCCATACTTGTTGCGAAAGAATTAAACAAATATATATGTAAAGTCCAAAAGTTTAAGGGAAAAATAATAAGTATTAACCTGGTACTACCTAAGAAAATAATAATTACAATAATACAACTATATTTATCAAGTAAGAAGAAAGACAACAAAGAAACATTGATACAAGTTAAAAATTGGATTCACAATGCATAGCAACGAAACCATAAAGTAATAGTAATGGGCGACTTCAACGCTGTACCATCGCCAAGTATAGATAGAAATAACAATAACCAATTCAACATCCCAGAGAGTGAAATTTTCTCAATATTAACAGGAAAAGACTTAATTGATAGCTATAGAACCATATACCCTGATTCCAGCGGTTTTACATGAAAAAGAGATAATTCACAAGAACAGAGCCGAATCGATGCCATCTGGATCCCACAACAATGGGAAAAAAAAATAATAGAATGCTCCACGGAATAACTTGAATTAGTGACAAAAAGCGACCATAAAATAATACAACTTAAAATTAAAAAGACGTGGCAAATACATTCAAATAGAGAAGTACAAGATAATATAGGACCTAAATATAACATAAAATTAATGTGCGACAAAAAATGGATGAAGTTTACAACACATATAGAAAAGAAATTAAAAGCAACCTCCATTTCGTCACGAAAAGAAAAATATGGGATAATAGTCAATTCGTTAAACAAAAACTGAAAAACTCTCAAAAATATAATGATAGAAGTGGCGGATTGCGCAATACCAAAGAAAAAAATTAAAAAATTTAACAAAAAAATCAATAAAGAATTCACAGAGAACTATAAATGTGCAAAATCGTTTAATAAACTATATCAATTTATGAAAAAAGAAAGAACCAAATCAATTAAATATATTAAAACACATGACAAGTTCTTGAAAGAAAAAAAAAAACTATCAGTACTTAATATTGAAATTGAAAAAATTTTAATAAATAATAGAAATTATGAGGAATTACTATACAAATTCAAAGAACAAAGTATACACTTTCAAACAATCGTAAGAGCAGAGAAAAAGAAAGAAAACTTTAAAAAATTCAAAAAGCCATAGAAGAAAGATGGGAGAATCTTAAAGAAAGTCCTAAAAAAATAATTAATAGTGTACTAGACAAGCCAAAAAAATCCATTATTATGGATCGTTTGATTGTCAAATCAGAGAGCAATAACACAACAAAAATCATTACGGACAAAACAGAAATTAAGACAACGGTACAAAAACACTTTCAAAACTGGACAAGGAAGAGGAACACCAACGAAACAATGATGAAAGAATGGGAGGAATGGTATAAACCAATACCAATAATTGACTCTAATAACTATAAAAATTTACTAACAGAAGTAAGTATAGACGAATTGGAAGAAACAATTTGGCTCTTACCTAACAAAAAAGCGGTCGGGCAATCAGGTCTACAATATGAATAGTTTAAACATCTCCTTAACGAGGGCATAGAAACATTAAGAGACATCATTAACATGGCTTTCGATTTAAATGACATTCCAGAAGAATAGAAATGTGGGTATATATATCCAATTCCAAAAATGGCCGATTGGGGAAACAATTTAAATATAACAAGACCAATAACCTTATTAGAAGCAGGAAGAAAAATATTCACGAAAATTTTAAACAATAGGCTGGCAGATATCTTCAGTAACAATAAAATTTTATCAGGATACAACTATACGAGCTTATCAGGTGACGATACACAGAACTCAATTCACATTATAAACAATATTATGGAAGACGCGAGGGTCAAAAATAAAGAATTGTGGTTAATGTTCCAAGACATAAGCAAAGCATTTGATTCGGTTAATACCGTTTGCTTGTCAAAAACTTTACGAAGAATTAAACTGCCAGAAGGATTTATTAACATAATGGAGAAATTGTTACATAACAGAGAAAACATCGTATTAACTACTTATAGAAATACAGAGGCATACAAGGTAGAAGATGGCATCGATTAGGGAGATATAATTTCACCAATCTTATGGAGAATTTTTTATGACCCACTAATATACAGAATTGCAAAATCAGGTCTGGGATATACAATGAAAGAAAAATGGATCGATGACCTAAGATATGGAACGACTAAATCAATGCAAATGAAAGTAACAGTGGCAGCATACGTAGACGACACAAATTGGTTTGCACCCTCACGAGAAAAAATGGAAAAAATACTTCAAATTGCAAATGAATTTTTCGTCATGAACGATATCACAATAAATA